CTCATTTAATTTTCCCAACTACCCTTTAAGCCAGGCATAGCCAGACCTTTAGAAGTGAGGAGAGGGAGACTCAGAGCATGAAAGGCACTGCCAGTGTCAGAGCTGAAACTCCAGCTCAGGTTGCAGGGCCCCGAGTCTGGGCACTGGGGCCACTGAGCCCTGTCCCAGCACCGGGTTACACACCAAATGGACCATCAGTGCTTTTAAAGATGATGCAGGGAAGGAGTGGAACACAAAATACAAAAGTGAGCTCTGGTCAGCCAAAGCAAAGAGTTCTACTGTAGGGCTTAGAAATTTTTAAAAAACTCAACTACATCAAACATCTTACTGAGAAATGTTCATTTAGAGAGCTGGGAGAATATGGCACTGGAGATGTACTGAACAAGGAGGGGAAAGATTCTGATCCGACGGACCCTCTGGGGAGAAGCTGCTGCTTAGAGGCCAGAGAAGTGAAACAGGTGTGAGAGGAGGAAAAGCACACCATGTCATCCGGCTGCTGCAGAACAGTTTTAACTGCAAAAATGTTGTACCTGGAGCAGGGAGAGAGTATATTTATCTAAGGATTGAACTCAAAATCAAGTGGATCTGGCTGTAAAGAAAAAAAAGGTTGGAAATACAAAGGAATAAAAAAAAATAGGAATGTTCAAGTCAATCTAGGTCTTAATAGTTGCATTGTATACCTATAAATTACCCAACTATAACTATGGATACCTTGAGACTTTCTTCAGTTATAGTAAAGCAACTTTATACATGACATTCTCAAGAGACAAGAGGACAACCGAGGTGCCAGGGGAATTTGGGGGCAGGGTAGAGACCACACAGACTTTCTGATGGAGGCGACTCCAGACAATTTCCTTGGTTCCTGTTTTGTGCCTTCAGATCGTTGGCCTTTACAAGTCAGAGATGAGCCCTAGCACCTCGTGATAATCCATTCTAGATCAATGAAGACAAATCTCTATTGCCATCGGTCATCTCCTTGGGTCATACAATTTACGACTGACATTAGGGGACTTTGCTTTTTACCTGGCCTGTGTTTCTCTTTTTTTCAAGTTTCAGAGAGCTCTCTCAAAATTCCAGTATCCTGGAATTTCGTGAAATGCACAGTTTAATCTTCCTCTTGTGATTTTACAGACACACGCATGCCTCTGGTTTTGCCAGGCTGGAAGCATTAATGCCTCCACTGGGTCACAGGGGGTGGCCTCTCCGTCCCTTTGAGCATCAACAATTATCCTCTCAACCTTCTCAAAATGCTATGAGGTATCTGATAGGCAGAACTGAATGCAGCATCGAACATGTGGAGGTGTCATGGCTTCTTAGAAGAAGAAGACATCAGACACTATTATCTGCACAAAAGAATCACCAAAAAGTAAGCCCCTACTGGCAGCTTCCTTGTCTTGCACTATCTTACTCAGCACCTAGAACACGCCTGGCACAGAGCGGCCACTCCACAGACTCTTGTGTCATCAGTGTCTCTTGGTTTCAGACACAGTGATAAACATATATGTATGTGTATATGTAAGAAACAGCACAAAGAAAACCTTCAAAATCACAGCACTTCAGTATTTTTTCCTCTAAGCAACACCAGCTGTGGAGAAACTTTTGTTTCAACTCATTCCTGACCTCTTTCCTTTAGCTCCTTTATAATCAGACTAAAATGTAATAACTGCAGAAACGTGTCTTAATTGGGGCTTGTGTGTGTGAAATCTTAACTGTCCAATCTGTGCGTACCCCTGACACATCCTCCTTCCATCACTTTTTTAGCTTTTGGCCTTTATCAGTTTAATATCTTGTGCACATTCATCTTTCTGCCACTCTGATCTCATTTTCTCCCTCCCACGAACTGACCTCAATTGCTCCCTGTTGCTTTTAAGTCCACACTCCGCGGCCTGGTATTCAAGACCCAGGGCTGTAGCCTCTGCCTCTCCCCTGCCCGCCTCCCCCACACAGCCTTTCTGGACGTGCCCGCCTCTTCTGCACCCCCAAACACACCTTGCCCTTGCCCTTTCTCCAAACCCTACACAACCCTCAGGGTCCAGCCTCGGATATCTTCCATTCATTCAGCGGCCTCCGCTGGGACTGCTTTAGGGAGACAGGATGGTTCTAGCCCTCCGCCAGATGCTGGAATGGACAGCTTATAACAGGAGGCCCCTAGAGAGTATGCTAAAGCCACTGAGGCCCTCTGGGTCGGAAGTCCTAAAGGATGGCAAGTCCTGGCTGCCCAAAGTGGCCTGCCTTTGTCTTTTCTACCTTGCCATGCTCTCTCTGCCTTATAGACGTTATTTTACTAGTACAGCCACAGGTAACTTATTTTTTCAATTAAGAAAGTTACCAGGTCCTGAAAGTTGGTATAAACGAACGATTTTGCCCGTGGCCGGGTCTGCTTGGTGGAACTTGCACCCGAGCAGGCCGGTGAAGGGCGGCCAGCGCCACACGCGCCCAGGCAGAGCTTTCCCGCGCTCTCCTGGTGAGGCCCTGGGCGGGCCCTTCTCATGCAGACGCCGCAGAGCAGCCCTCCCGCGGGGGACCTGCACGGCTCTGGGGGAATGCCCGGCTCCGGGGCTCTGCAAATGCAGCGGCCCGGCCGCCACCTCCTGCCCCGTCTGTAAACACGCATAACGCCATCGCCATCCCACGGCTCAGGCAAGCGGCCCGGTGGCTGCGGGAGCTCGGGCTCCGCTCTCTCCCGCGGGGTGCGGGGTGCGGGGTGCGGGCCGCGCTCCAGGGAGGGGCTCGGACCCCCGCAGGCGCAGAGGGCGCTTTGGAGACCACAGGGCGCTGGCGAGAGGCGGCCGCACGAGAGGGAGTCCCGCAGAGCCTCGGCCGCAGCCGCCCAAGGGCACGCGGGCGGCAGGAGGGACAGGGCCGTCCGACTAGGGGTCGCTCTGCACTGGGCGACGCTGGGGCGGGCGGAAAGGACAGGCGAGGAGCAGAGGGAGAGAAACACTATTTACCGACCTGCCAGAGGTCCTAGCTCTTGATTTGATATCGTTTTGGTCACAATAATATTCAATGCTCCTATATACCAACTGATTTTATTAATATATTATATGGTTATATATTTTATGATATATAAAGTATAAATAAATTTATATATTAAAAATTTTAAGTTATATAAATATATTTGTATGAATTATATATTATAAAATATGTAATTTTATATATACAAAATAGGTTAGAAAGAGCTCTTTTAAACCAGGCTATCTATTTATCTGTTTATCTATCCACAGATATATCTGTCTATATATACATAGGCATACAGTCTACTGTATATCTATAAACGCACATATAGAGAGTCTGATTTTAAAGAGCTCTTTCCAATGCATTTTATATAAAACATACGTAAATTTTATATTTATTTAATTATATAAATATAATTTATATTTTACAATTTTATTTTAGAATTCATTTGAATACACACACACACACACACACACACAAATGAGCTGAGAGTTTTAAAAAAAACTAGATAAAAATTCCAGCAGCTATTGAATAAAAACTGAAAACAGAGTGAACATCTCAGCAGGAGAATGGCTGATTATTTGAGGTATAGCCTAATCACAGAATATTATGCTGCCATCAAAAATAAAATAAGTCTATAGAGTTCACTCAAGGGGTTTTTTACTCTTGTTAAATGAGAAAAGAGAAGTGTGTTTCTACACTATTTTTGAAAACCTATGAGTGTATTAAAAGGTGCCGAGCACATCAGTGTGAACAGAGTCGGCTAACTGAGTGGCCCAGAAGGAGAAACAGGGAGGAAAAATGATGATGGAAAACGAACAAAAACAACTATGAAAAATAACAGGTTCCATGATAAAAAGCAATAATTACATGAAGTTATACATATGTAAGCATATATATGCATAAAAATGCTTGGAAGAATGAGTGCTAAAATGTTAGAGGTATATTATCTCAGCGAGAAAATAAAAGCTGTTTTATTTTTATACTTTCTTATATATACCTTTTTGCATTTTAATAAAAAAATTAATTATATAACCAAAATAACCATTCATTGAGGGAAAGCTTGAATAAGTCAATGACACTGGCAGCATGAAAAATAATGTTTCTCAAGGCTTCCTAGCCAAAAGATGGCACATCCAGTAGATTTTGAGTCATTTGTGACTAAAAGAGGTTTCCATAATCTTTTTGAAAATGGAGACAGACCATAAGTCCAAAATTAATAATCATCATAAACACTTTGAGCATCTTTATGCCAGGGCCTAAATCTAATTTTTAACACACTTTCCCAAAGGCTTCAAGCACTCTGAGTGCTTAATCAATCCTCATTAATTGACAAGCACATTTCAAATCTCATGAATTATTACATGGAAGATGCTATTATCTGACATACAAATGCTATTAAAGAGTAAAATCTCATCTAAAAAAGAATATGAGAGCTGAAGCAGTTCCAATGAAAATAATTTAAGTATGAAATTTAATCTGCCACAAAAGAAGTAATAAAACTCTAACACATTTTTTCTTCCTGCCCTGGTCATATTAAATGTATTCAGTTTTGTTACCTTTGTCCCTGCCGTCTGAGGCCTGCATGTCATCTACACCCACCCCCCTCAACTGCCCACTCAATATCATTAACTTTCTGGTGTTTTTTCTTGTAGATTTAAGATTCATGACATTTACTACCCATCATCATAAACAAGCTCCATATCATTATAATTCTGATTATAACATGCAATTGTTTTGCAGAGATGTGCTGCCTTTTCATGCTTCCAGGCTTCTTTCTCTGCAGGGTAGTGGAAAATTTGTGTGCAAGCTGTGTGGACAGCTGCTCCATGAAAAGCATGGACTAGCCTTTCCAGGGAAAATGGGCACACACAGGGAGGACATAGGGCAGTGACTGCTGTCCTTGATCCCCAAGGTGGGCACCCCCCCGGCCGTAGGGAGCAGCCCACCTGTCTTCTGTTACGTTCACCTGGCAGGTAACTGTTACTAGGTAACATGAAAACTAATTTTACACATCTCATCTTTTCAAGAAAAATACTTACTTGGACTAACAAATGGCCTGAATTAGGCAAACATGTACCACATTCCTTGGTGTTCTCATTTATTTGCGTTATCAAATTCATCAGTATTTCCACAGCACCTTTGCTGATCATTTCATTAAGAAATCCTGGATTTCCAGAAATGAATTTGATAGTCCCCATACAGTATAAGAAAGCTTCAGTGTTAGTCTGCAGCACTTCACTTCTCAGGACCTCCAATAACAATTCTGTCAAAAAGATGGATTACTGCAAATGTATGATTACAACAGCTGTAGAGAGAGATATTAAAGTGTTTGTATGTGAACATCAAACACAATTTGTAGACTGTTAGTCAGAACCTACAGTCAAATGCTTGTTATGGGTTACTGATTGGTATAAAGAGGAAAGCCTACTTTTAGCTAAATCTTCGTTGTAGTAACGACAGTAAAAGGAAGGGATTATAATATATAAATAAGAAAGTGTTCTTTAAATGCCATGCCTCTTACTCACATTTACCAGCCTTATTTTTGGTTACAAACATTTTGAGTTATTGTAGAATAACTCATTATTAAAGTAATTTAAGAGTTACATTTCAACAATCCATTAAGAATATACCAGTTGCTGTATGAATGGGAAATTAATCAAGATAGGACATTTTAAAAAATCTCAGTCACCATAGAAAGAAATGCTTTGACTATAACATCCACCCTTTCCAAAGACAACTTAAGAACATCCTTCCAAAAACATACAACGACTGGGTCCTAGGAGTGATCCAAGCAACTCTGATAAAGTTAATCATGCTTATTTCACATTTTATTTTATTAATATCAGTGTGACCATTTGTTAGAATATTTCTTTGTTTTTTGGTCTACAATTCTCAGTGAGTTGATTCAGTGTTTGACATTTCTTTTAGCACTGGGCTTGCCCCTGTTTGCTGGGGTAAAAAAATAGATGAAGACTATTTATCCTTTGTTGCAAAAAGAGGACTCAAAGTATTTTCCTTGCTGCCTTCTTTTATTTTTAAAAATTTTTTTTCTGTATTGTTGAAAGAATTACAGATGTCCTCCTTTTTTCCTCACTGACCCCTTCTGCCCTGCCCCCATCCCCGCCCCAGGCCTCCCCCAGACTATTGCCTGTGTCATGGGTTAGGCATATATGCATATAAATTCTTTGGAAATCTCTCCTCCTCCACTCCCGCCTTCCCTCTGAGATCCCTCAGTCTCTTCCATGCTTTCTGTGTCACTGGATCTATTTTGTTCATCAGTTTATTTTGTTCTTTAGATTCTACATGTAAGTGAGATGATGTGATATTTGTCTTTCTCTGCCTTCCTTTAGATCAGTAATACCAGTTCATGAAAGACTTCTATTTAGGTTACTATTAAAGCAACTTATTTCAGAACATGTCAACAATTAGACCTTATTAGCTAGGTAGGTAGAATTTAGTAACATTTCTCTATCCACATATTTGAAACACATTTGGGACACTTTGATGTCAAATTTCTACAACAGTTATAGATGTCTTCCAAGTTTTAGTCATTCCTACTAAATCAAAAGATTGAAATTTCAATAATTTCAAATACTATTAAAAGTACTTTTTTCTAATAGACCAGGAAATGAATTTTTAAATACAGAACACTTTGTAAAGTCACATCATGTTACTATAAGTATTAAAAAAACCACCAGACTATTCTCCTAGGCTCCAAAGGATATATTAAGTGGAATGAGGAAGACACAGAGAAGGACAGAGTAAAAATAGGCACCACATAGCTTCTGCATAATACTAGAAAATAAAGTATTTCAGCTATCATTACTTGGAACCTTGTACTCAAGTGCAACATTTGGTCAATGGTAGCGCTGTGTGACACTCACCCAGAATGCTGTCACTTTGAATCAGAGAATCATTCTTCTCACTCCTGCTAATTTTAAATATAAGTTTGCAGACGTTAAGAAGGTTCTTCCTACTCACTTTAAGCTGCAGAGAAAGAAAACACATTTCTATTGGAGAGGGAAATAAAGACATGCCATAATTTTTAACACAAACATCTAATTTTAAAAGTACAGCAAGAGGATTTTTAAAACAAAGAAAAGTTATAAAGAAATCAACTTTCCAAAGTTCTGGCCACATATTTGCCAACTATCTAATATAAATGACATTTCTAGAGTAAGCACATTTTAATAATAAGCATTTATTTTTACTTCATAAAGTTTCATGCTTATATGTGAGATTACTAGTTACTTTTTAAAGAGTATATGAGGAAAGAAAGGGGGATGATGTTGATAAATTTAATTAAATGGAGTAATTGCTTCTTAACACAGACATAAAAGAAGATGGATACCAAAATTTCAGATTAAACTATTTTAGAAAACACAGTGGAGGTGAAAGATAGAAAAGGGGAAATGGACGATTCTCTTTATCATTTGTATAAAAGAAAATAAAAAAGTCATTCTCTCATTAGATAATATATGTATTTATTTTTTAAGACTATTTCTGGGCCTAGCCGGTTTGGCTCAGTGGTTAAGAGCGTCGGCCCTCAGACTAAAGGGACCCAAGGGCATGGGCCTCGGTTGCAGGCTCGATCTCTGGCCCTGGCTGGGGCTCGTGTGGGAGACAACCAACGCATGTGTCTCTCTCACATCGATGCCCCTCTCTCTCTCCCTCTCCTTCTCTTTCTCTCCCTCCCTTCCACTCTTTCTGAAAAGCAATGGAAAAAATATCCTCTGGTGAGGATTTTTTAAAAAACCAAGACTTTCTGGAATACTTTGAGATAATGACAAGTGATGTTCAAAGTTTAAAATTACCTTCTAAATCACATAAAAATATTCAAGTAATTTAAACATAGGGGCAATAAGGAAGTATGCATTTTAAAAAAAAAAAACACAGTATAGGAAGACTAACTAAATTAGCTGTATATTTATCTAAAGAAGTAAAAATTAAAAAGAAAAATCCTAAATGTACAATATCCTAAAAACCCCAATATTAGGGAATACTTTAATAAATTGTGGAACATCAATACTATTCATATTAAGCAGTCACAAAAAGTATAATTGTGAACACTATGTTTAAAAAGAAAGACATTTATAAGCTATTATAAGATGGAAATATTATGTGCCCTCATGCAAGAGTGTAAAATATGTTTATAGAAATAGGGTCATCTGAACAAATAAATCTGTGTGAAAAGGGTGGAATATGGGTCATTATTTTATCATTAAAAAGTATCTTTTAAATTATCTTTAATACTGTTTATTAATGAATTTTCAGTTAATTTTTTAAAAGATAATGGAATTTGCCAGACATATTTTAAAACGATTTGTTCTATGTTTGATCCACAAATATTATTGAGCTCCCATTGTGTAGCTGGCCCTGTGCTGTTTGCTGTAGGGGATACTGTGATAAATGCAGTCAGCCCCATCTGGAGGGGTAGAGGGAAGGGAGCGTTACCCATGGAGCAACTTCCATCTGGCCCGCTCTGGGTCCTTTACCTGCTATCTCAGAGCCACCCTGCATATTAGGTGTTGTCATTCCCATTTTGCAACTGAGGAGTCTGCTCCTCAGACAGGTCATGGCAACTCATCTCGGCATCACCTGTTTGTATACTAGAAATGCAGAATCCCAGTCCCCATCAAGCAGGACTGAACCAGAATCTGCATTTTAACAAGCTCCTCAGGGGATCATGTGCACATTCCAGTCTGAGAAGCCCTATTGAGAAAGCCTCAGAAACTATCAACAGATCTTGTACCGTAAAAATCCAGCCCGGCTGGTGTGGCCCAGTTGGTTGGGTGTCATCCCGTGTACCAGGACATCACCAGTTCAGGTCCTGGTTGGAGTTGTGGGCTTCATTCCCCAGTGGGGGGCCTGCAGGAGGCAGCTGATCAACGTTTCTCTCTCTCCCTTTCCCTTCTTCTCTTTTTAAAATCAGTAAAAACGTATTTAAAAGAATTTTTAAAAGAAAATATAATGTCCCTAATATATTTTAATCAGTCAACAATCTTCCACTATATTGTGAGACTTTGAGGTGAAAAATCATGATTTATTACTTTCTATGGAGGCATGTAGCATGTGTTATATACTTAATAAGGCTTCTTGAATAAGTGAATGAATACAACTAACCTCCCTCCTCCCCCACCCAAGTTTTATATTTTTAGTGGACAGTGGCAAAGTAAAAAAACAAAAAAAAACAAAAACAAAAAACAAGCAAACAAACAAAAAACAGGGTCAGAATTTTCATTAAAGGAAACAACAAATAACCCATAATTTCCAGGTCTGCTATAAGGTCAGTTTACATTCAAAGCAAATTCTTACACCTTCTCTTTTGATAACTGCAAAATTATGACTTTGAGACATGAAAAGATAATAAAATATTAAATTATATGCAAAGAAAAGTCTACCTTACATAAAACAGCACTCCCGCCCTAGCACTGTCCATTTCCTTAACTCCAGTTTATTTTCTTCCCACAGTACATCAGCCCACTTTGGCACATTCTGTGTTTACCGTCTGTCTCTCCTGCTACAGGGCCAGCCCAGAGGGCAGGGGCTATGTTGTTCACCCGTATTTCCAGTGTCAAGAGTCCCTGCCACAGAGGTGGTTCCTTTAGTGGGATATTTTTCTTATGTTAAAAATAGTAGTCTTTTCTATTTAGAGCAAATTTGGAAAATTAAAGAGAAGTTTAAAAATCACTCATAATACTACCACTGTATATAATCGCTGTTGACATACTGGTATTTCTTTTCTGTTTTTCTTCCCTTTATAGGGTGCTAGATTCCCCCCCCCTTACTGAATATAGTTACATTCATACAGTATAATGTTTTTACTAAAAAAAAAAAAAAAAAAATCTTAATATAGACTGATATATTTTTGTAAGATTTTTCAATACAAAGACTAAAATTAAAATGGTCTGACAAGCTCCTACTTAACCAAAGAATGCAAGAAATCAGAACAACCAACATTATGATCACTGAATTTTTAACTATAAATAATTTAAAATGTCTCAATTATTATGTTAAACTGATAAAGTAAATATTGGCAGAGAGAAGCTATTAAAACCTTCTTAGTTGTATATATCTTTAGTTTTTTTGCTGAGTTTTTTCAACAGCACTTTATGTGGTCTTTTTAAAATTTAGATAGAACCCCATCGCCAAGGTCTAAGCAAAACAACATCTTGCCTGGAACATTATAGGATATTCAGGAGGCAGAGAGGAAGTTGGCCTTGATAGCCTTGAAGGTCCTTCCTGACGCTGTGGGTTCATAGTTAATCAGAGGGGACAGCCTACCCATCTCTGCACTCTGGAATGTAGCCCAGAGAGTCTTGCCCTGATTCTGCAAGGCAGTCAATGTCATGAGAGGGCTTCATCTAAACACACGTTTCAGTCACAACATGCTCACTGCCTGGCAGATCACTTAGCTTTTTGCCCTAAAATAGTTAAATTGTGCCATGGATATAATTATTCTGAATGGCGCCTTTATAACCAAGATAATACTTTCTCTGCAAAGCATTTACAAATTCATGGCATTTTCCTGCTTTCTCCCACTCTTTAATTTATTAATTTTTTTGGCTTGGTATGGACAAAATATCTAGGATCTAGGTGGAAAACCAAAGGCAGGCCCTGGACAGCTGGCAGCTACACCGGTAGGGCTCTCCAGCCTCACACTGGGGCTCTCCTTGGCCAGAAGGCGCCCCAAATCCAGGGCCAGAAAGGGCACTGGGCAAGCACACTGATATCCTTTTATCTCTACTTACAACTTACAAGTCCTCCCTGTGGTTTATGCTCCTCTTGTTTCACTAAAGCAATTGATCAACTGTCATCAATGAAAGGGGATTCAAATACTACTGAAATCACTATTTCAAGGAAATGCTGCTTTCTGAGTCATGATCATATCACAGTTTTTGTGAGGAGGGTGAATAGTTTGGGATGATAACTAATTAAGAATGTAGCTGCTCCAAAAACCTGCCTAGGACATGCAGCCAGAATGTTCTGCCACATGAAAGACATCACAGTGAGACACTGCGGACACTCTTACCAAGCTGTGCCCACTCTCACTGTGCACTTCAAGATTTTAAATTATATAAATTATGGGGTGTTACCCTAATCGCTTTTACTTTTACGAAACTGGGTGAACAAAGCCTTGTTTGTTTCAATGGCTCTTTTAGAACATTCTATAATAATTGCATCTTATTTTTGGTTCCAACTGTTTATGGCTGTGACAACAAAGAGTTTCTCTGCTTCTGTTTGGTGTCTGGCCTTTGCTTCTCGCCCCTCTCAGGGGCCTCCGGGCCCTTCCCGGCCGCTCGCAGCTGCTCCTCGCCTCACGCCGCCGGCAGAGCACCTGGCCTTTGTGCCCCCGCCCGGCTTATCTTAGGTCATTTATTAAATCACGTGGCAGAACCGAGTGGGCGACAGAAACCGCAGGGCAGAAACCACAGCCTGCACGTCCATGCTGCTCTCCAGCAAGCGATTTGAGCAACTGCTTTGAATGCATTTGCCTGTGGTGGCGTTTTCTAAGCCAGCCGCAGTCTAAACGTGAGAGCTCATGTGAACAGTTTCTGTGTCCCCAGACTTAGTCCCTTAGAGAGTACATTCCAGTCAGATCCTGGGCTATCGGTTTATTACCTTAATCTTCTTCAGCGTTCTGAATAAACACGCTGCGTGTCTAATCATCTTTGTAATACTCACGAGTAAAGCATTAAACAGGACTTTTAGGTGCCACCGTCTACGAGACCCGAGGGGAGAGAAACTTACTGCTAGAATAAGTTTTGCCAGCTTAAGGCTGAGCGGGTCCGAGCCAACATCAACGAGCTTATAGAGGGTCTTCAGGAGAAGGCTTCTTCTCTTAAAGTTCTTCCCAAGCATGTGGTCTTCCTCCAAAGCGTGATGAAGCTGCGTGCAAGCAGCACAAAGCATTTCAGCGTTTTCTTCTGTCGGGGCAAAGAGAGTAAGGCAGCACTTACCATTAAGGTCAAGTTTTCAAGTGTGTCAAACAGACAGCCTAAGTAAAACACCCCATAGTTATTTTCCCGGACACTTTCACGCTCCTGAACTATGCTTTTCCCTTCCTCTTATCATTTCCATCTACCTGATTTCTTTCCATTTTGCTGATGCATCTCCCACCATGTCGACTTACTTACTAATCGGTCAGTGGGCTGGGGCGGCGCAGTCTTTCCGAGAGCCTGCTAATGAATGGAGTTGTACCTACGTCGGTTGGTCTCCTTTGCTCTAAATGCCTCCCCCTCCGCCAGGCTCTGTTCGGGCTCATGGAAGCAGAGCACTTACACTTCCATCCTCAAACCTTTGGGGCACAGTCTGCTGGCCTAGAATGTTCTCCTCTTTATTTCTACTGATTTTGGTCCTTCAAGGCTTTGTTGACCTTCCGGATCGTCTAGAAAAGGTACTCTATTCTACATACAAGAAATGTTAGCTTGTACTATTATTTTCACATGTATATATATGTATGTGTGTGTGCGTGTGATGTGATATGTCCAGTGCCCTGAGACAGATGTCATGCTAAGTGAGTAGGAATCCTGTCTTAGATGTTTGTGTCAATCACGCAAGGTGCAGTGAGAATACTGTACCGACAGCCTGCAACATAGTCTAATACATATTCACTTTCTAATATTATCTGTTGATAAAAACAACGATCAATATGTTTCTGTGAGAAAAATGCTTATTTTCTGAGAAAAGAGGGCTCCAATGGAACAAAATCTCAAAATGTCACCACACCCACCATGATTTGGAGGTGCTTATTAGAAAAGAGAATGAAAAAGAAGACTCGTTGTTAGGAAACAGGGAGACCTAGAAGATTTTATTTTATAATTAGAATTCTGAGGAAAGCAATTTTTCAAAGTGGCAACCATACTAACAGGCACACACTGAAGAAAAGCAGCAGACGTGGAATGTGAGGAGAAATACACGAATCCAAGGCCCCTGGTGTTCAGTTGAAAATATTATCTCTGATAGATTCCATCACGAAATTTAAAACTAGGAAACCAATCTTAAATAAATACCATAATGTGCTCTTAAAAGCCCACATAGAGGAAGTGTGCGCCTGCAGAAGGAAATGACTCAGGCCATTTTTAGCTCCTTTCAACAATAACATCTAAGAAAAAATTTTAAACCTCCATAGTGAAGTAAGCTTCAATGCCTTTCAGTTATGCGCTCAGATAAATGAATTGATGGGAAATGACTTAGACTAACTCTGAATAAAGGGGAAACCTGGGCTCTATTGTAAAAAACATTTTGTTTTGTTTTGCCCTTCTGCGACTGGCGGTGTCTTCACAAACCCAAGTCCAGTGGGTATAGACTTCAAAGCATTCTCCTAACACTTCCCTCAGCAGAGTCTCCCACCTGGTGGCTTCTATTCAAGAGAAACTGTTTTAGCTTCAAATTAAAAAATAAGGCTCAGGGCCAAATTTTAAACTATTGATCAAATCAACACTTTATACCCATTTGTTAGAGATTCAAAGGACAACTTGAACCTAAGAGCTATCAAGATTCTCAAGGGGCTAAAGCTAGTGAGCGATAGTTTGGTGAGTAATGTAGAATAAAGTAACTTCCCCCGTAAGATACTCATTGTTACAAGAGGGGAAATAGTGATTTCACAGTGGAAGGACCTGGCAGACACGGCCTCCTTCAAGTGGTCAAAGTTCCCATCACCAGCAGGGGACCAAGACAGCATCTCATGCCTCCTGATAAGATGCACTGAGGACGCAGCACCACTCATCCCATATACCTGCCCCAAGAGCCCAACCTGGACCTAACTGTGAGAAAATACCGGGCAAACCCAGTCTGGGGGGCAGTCTATAAACAATTAGACGTCAAGATCATGAGAGAGATGTGACAAATAATTGGAACTTGTGATCTGCGATTTTCTTTCTCTATAAAGGAAATTTTTAGGATAACTGGCAAAAATCTGAATAAGTTTCATATAGTGTTGTATGGCAATTTCCAGATCTGTAACAGAATGCCCTTGTTTCTAAAAGTACACAGAGTACTTAGGGGTATGGGACACCATGTCAGCAACTTGTTCTCAGAGGGTTTGAAAGAAAAAAACTGCGTCTGTGTGTGTGTGGGCAGGGGGCGTGGAGAAAGGGGGCAACGGAGGAAGGGGGAGAGAGGCTGGTGCAGCAAATGTGGTAAAATGTTAGTATCTGGGAATCTGGGGGAAGAGTGTACAGGGTTTCTTTGTACTATTCTTGCAACTTTTCCGTAAGCCTCAAAGTATGTCAAAATAAAAAGTTAAAGAAAGAATCTCAAAGGGTCAAGTAACCCAGCCCTGCCCCCCTTTGCTCTTCTTGAAGTTGTCTGTGGAAGACATGTCAGACTTCAGCGTTTAATCCTTCTGAGAGGGGAGACGCGCCCACATCCCAAATCCCAGGCTCCCGTTACTCCTGCTGGTCCGCGGTGGCAGGGCCCTCGGGACCCTCTTGACGGCCCTCAGGCTGAAGGCCTC